CTGTTCCGCGATGAAAACCAGCTTTAAGCAACGGCGTAGTCGAACGGTGTAAGTAATCCTACAATTTTTTGTTTATAGCATAGTTTATACAGATTATTCCCAAAAAATTATACGTATTTTGGAAATGTTGAGTGGAATTAGTCTAGAATCGGTTAATTTTATAGTAGAAAACCTTTCGTACAGCCTTAGTCCGTAAAGTTCCCACCTATCGGGCTGCGATTGGCTCACGTATTTAATCATTCCTACAACGTAATTTTCGGTTAGCGTGGAACGTATCTAAGCGTTATAGGGGAGTCTACTGTACAATAAAACTTCTTGCATATTTAAAAATATTTGTAAGAGTAGATAATCTATTATCAAAGTTCAACTCTTATTATTCGATATCGATGCTGTAAAGAAAATATTCCATATTTCGATGAAAAACTGAATTAAGAACACCAAACATTATATTTAATCACTTCGTATCAAAAATAGAAATAAAATAAAATAGTCATTGGGCTGAAATTTGAAAAAATTCTAGACCTATAAATTCCCACTGTCGTCCATCTGTTCGTTTGCCTGTCTGACTGTCTTTTCTCAATCTCAAAAAGGAAGTTAAATATATAAAAGCCGAAAATAAATATAGAAACCATAGGAGCAGGAGACACCGATTAACTGTACGGAAATTTTCGACGTCGCGTTATTTCAATGCAAACATTTGACCCTGATAGTAGTTAATAGAAGACCGATATGACTCTATTGTTAAAGAAAAAGTATGATGTACAAGGGCAAGCTACTAGTAATTTGAGATGGAAAGCGTATATTTTAAATTAAATAAATTAAAAATATAATTAAAAATTACAACCCAGCGTTGTGACGATGTCACAATAAATAATTGCTCGTTTTAATTTAACTTTTTTTTAAACAATTGAAATTATAGAAAATGTAAGTTATTCGAACAGTAATAATGTATTGGAAATAACGATAACGAGAGCTGAGACGTCTAGACATTAAAAATTACTCCCAAATTATTTTTGCGTTTCTCGACGTTTCAAGGTGTCTTATGTTCGAAAGTGTATAAATATTGGGTTGTATCATATTTTTTCCTATTCACTCTGCTATATATAACAGTCGGGAAAGTAAAAGTATCGGAAATAGTTCAATAGAGCACAAGATTTGAATTTATTTATCAAAATATGGAGTTAAATAACTTTGAATTTAATCATCAATGAAGTTAAATAGATGAAAGACAAGACTAGATAGAACGAGATATAGATTTTCTATTAACTGCGATATCTCGCCCCCTTCAAAGTAATTCCCTCCCACTTCCATGCACTTATGACAACTTTTTTTCTTGTTTTTTTTCTAATTCTCATAAAACGTCTTCGAGAATCGCAACGAATTTTGTTTAATGGCATCAATCAATTCAAAACGGAAATTTCGTACAGAAAATTTTAGTTGCAGGTACAGGAAAGTATCAGAAGATGCCATATCACGTGTATATGAAGCTCGTGGAATTGTATTTGTTAAACTTTTGTTCGAATGTTTACGAGCAACAAGACCAATGTTAGTAATTTAACTGATATATATTGTACACGAACAATATTATATATATATATATATACTGTATATATGTTTATTTATTTATTTATTTACTACTATTATGATATATTATGACGGGTATTAACAACTTTTAGCGTTGTGATTATATTAAAATTGATATTATATAAAAGTTATTTCTATATAAACATTTAAATATCATAGTAATATTTCACATAATATAGTAAGGTTTCACGTAGATAAAAGCAAATCAACTATATTTTTACATTAAAATATTCAGAATATTTGCAAAATTATTTTAAAAGTTAAATATTTTATTGTAATTGCGTAAAACATATAATTGTGATAAAAACAAGAAAAAGGTTTGAGTAAAATAAAAACTAATTTTAGTCATAAATATAATATATATAAATTGATTATATGAATTCATATAAATATTATAAATTTGAAAAAAATAATGATATAAAATAAAACACATATAAATTTATATTTTTTGTATTTTAGAAATACGATAAAAATCCAATAAATGAAAAATTTGTAATTAATTACAATAAATTGACAAAATATATTGCTAATTTCTAGTTTTATGTCTTAACTGAATTAATTATTATCTAATGACTCTTTATTACTAATAACTTTGCTGTTAGCCCTTACATATTATTTAACATATTTGTTTTTTATATAAATTAAGACCGTTGTGATTTATATATTAGTGTTTATACACAGAAATCCAGTACTTGAAGCAATTTATTGCAATTTGGTTATCATAAACATGTAACCATTTAAAATTTACAATTATTAGATAATTAAATAAAATGCATTTCGGTTCTGAAATTCTCTCTTCAGTTAGATTATTATTATACAAAAATACCAGTAAATATTTGTAAAAAAAATAACTTGAAATAGGACAATTACTGTAATGAGCTGTGTATAATTAGCCTTAATATATGAATTACAATGGTCTTTGTTTATGTAAAAATCAAATAATTAAATAAGATTAGTTAAAAGACTAATGACTTTTATTGTTAGATTGCTTCTCGAACGATTTGGCAGATTATTTTTTGTATTACATTAAGACTAATTAAATAGTTTGATATAATGCAATTTTGTCTAAAGGAAATTGTTACACAGTCATCTCATAATAAATTTACTAATTACAAATATGTCAAATTTTAATTTTAATATTCCGAAAAAAATTGTCAACAACCCACAAGTCCTACTTACCGTGCAGATTCCCTGCCAATTACACTACACGTACTGTACAATACGTTTAGGTTGGTTATTGTTCTGAATAGTTTATGCTCTTAGAGACGGTAACCAACATGAATAAACATTGCATGACTTTTATCATTGACCATTCAGCAAATTAAAATGATATTTTTAACATAATTGTTTTCATGAATTACGTATATCAAACATCAAACAATAAATGTTAATGTGGATAATTAGCTTACTTACATTTTATTTTAGTAGTTATATTACAAAGATTATCACCGCTTTGTAACGAGAAGATGCCTTAAAAGCAATAAAAAATTAAATGATTATATTAAATATAGTTATATAATTTTATAGTTGAACTGTTTTATTAGAAAAACAAATGTGCAAATCTCGCACGTGCGCCTGTTTCTAAAAACAGTCTCAGCATTTCTTATTTTCTTTTGACCCGGTTCTCGGTCCCCCGACTACCTATAAGTCTGGTCTATATTATGTGCGCATGATTTCGGTACCAAATACTCCGTGCCAAATTGCAACTCCTGACATGTACAGTACTTCTTCATACCTCTAAAGTGTGTGCAGACGTTGACAGCAGCGCGATTTTANCAACACGAACAATCATCTGAAATGGCATTTCTATGTGATTTGTGCAACTTCAGGACTTGGTCAAAGGAGAAATGGTTTATGCATAAACAACGTCATGCCGATGAAAATAAATTCAAGGTAATCGTATTTATTTATGAAGCTACTTTATAACTTAATATTACAAGAAAATATTTGTATTTAAACTTTACATTAAATATTACCAATTGCCATTGAAATTCTTTTGCATGGAATACGGTATTTTATTCCGTTTTTTTCAATCTACCACTGCATTTGAAACAATAAATACTTCCAATTCTAAATAAGCAAAAGAGGTGAACAGATCAATTATTATTGATGTTCTATTTTAATATTAAAAGTCGTTATTTATTAAGTAACGTCTTTCCACCTACCAGTTACTGAGACATCGTAATTTCGAATTAACGTCCTAATGTGAAAAGAAAATGTTACTTTTAAACGGTAGTTCAACAGATTTTTATACAGTAGTAAATTTATTTAGCTTTTGCAGAATTTTTATGTGTAATTTTCTGTTTTCATGTTCTATTGTATGTTCAATATGTACTTTTTAAAATTTCCAATTTCTGTATTTATAATATTAATTGAAATATATAAATTACACGAATTTTTATTAATAAGCGAAGTATCATGAAATATAATATTGAATATTTATTTATTTAGCGTATGGCTACACATCTAATTGTTAACAAGAACAGAAAGCAGAAAAAGTAAGAACACAAATCATAAATGTAAATCTAAGTTAGAAATATAATTTAAAGCACTTTCAGTCACTTTGGATAGAACTTTATCTTTTAAAACACATCTGATGAATTTAGCTGCCAAGGTTAATACCAGAAACAACATCCTCCAAAGACTATGTGGAACTACATGGGGTTCTTCGCCGTCCACCTTACGGATCTCTGCTCTTGGCTTGGTTTTCTCTGCAGCAGAATACTGTGCACCGGTATGGATGAACAGTACTCACATTAAAAAACTGGATGCCCAACTAAATGCTACTCTACGTATCATAACAGGTACTCTTAAATCAACTCCTATTCACTGGTTACCTATTTTGAGCCATATCCCTCCATCTGCACTCCGAAGGGACAGCACTTTGCTCAGGGAATATAGGAAAATATTGTCTAATCCACAACTTCCGATCCATCAGGATATTGATGACCTCAACATAAATCGACTTAAATCAAGACACCCTCCTCTTATAAGAGCTAAATCCCTGCATTCCAATAATTTCAACCTCACTGAATCTTGGAAAAGGCTCTGGGCTGATGTCTCTCCGGTGGACAGTCGACAACTTCCTTGTATCACAAAGCGACCACCTGGATTTGAGTTATCCAGAAATCTTTGGAGTGTGTTAAATAGGATTCGGACCAAACATGGGTTGTGCAGGGACAGTCTTTTTAGGTGGGGAAAAGTTGCATCCGCACAGTGTGACTGTGGTGCTGAAAGACAGACTATACATCATATCTTGGAAGATTGTCCAGTAAGATCTTTTTCGGGACAACTGAGTGACTTCTTGATTATGACTGAAATATTGAATAATTAAATCTCAACTGATTATTTTTTTTCAATATCGACAATATCTTTCTTTAAATATCATTGGTAAAAAACAATAATGCTAAATAATAATCCATGGTATTGATATTTAAATAAAGAGATGTTAAAGTCATAATTTACGAATGCAGTTTATACACATGCAGTAGTAAAATACAGTTCAGTTGTAAAATTAATAAATGTCATTGACTAAATAAAACACCAATTAATAATGTAGTTGTAAATAAGAAGTTGATAACATAAATGGTATATAGAAAGTGAACTCATTTTTCCTACGAATAATTTTTTAATGGAATTATTTCAGATCACAAAATTAATTTTTCAGGTTATAAATAATAAAAGTTAATAAGGTTATAGAAAATAATTCTTCCAAACATTCACGAGACATTTTTCTAACTACTCAGCAATCTCACAACTGAACGACACGACAGCACACACGTTAAGGTCGGGCTGCGCAGTCTGACGCTGTGCAGGAAAATCAAATGGTTTTTCGATTCTACTCCGGTCTTCGGTACAGTTCGCCAAAACTCTTAAATTTTCCCCCATACACTACCAGGAATTACTGAAGGTCAGGCATGCACGGTTAATCTTCAAAGGATTTACTCAACGTGTATGGGCCTCTTAATATTTTAATCGTCTGTAATAATATTTTAGGTCCAACCGAAATCGTTATCTTACATCTCGAACATATTCTGAGAGATTTCCATGCAGAGTTGATTTTTCTTGTTCATGAAAAAATCAGAACCAAAATTTGTCGATGCACCTCGTACATTAAAACTACGTAATACGATGTCACGAGTATTCCACAATTTTCTGCCACACTTATTATCAGTTGAAACAATTTTACTAGATTCGAATCATTTATGCCATATACAGTAGACCCGCCTATAACGCAAAGATACGTTCCTCGTTATACGAATTTCGCGTTGTAGGAATCCTTGGGCTGTGATTGGCTCACGTATTTGACAAGTGTGAAGTTTACGGACTACGGCTGNATTAAATTATACAGGGTAAAAATTAAAATTTAAAAATTAATGTAAGAGTTAATTTCTTAAATAATTCCGTTTTTTTTCTTTATTGTTTGATTGTAGAATTAACTGGAAAGAGGTTGAAAGAATAATTAACCAATAAATATAACGTTTCTCCTAATGCAGCAAAAATGTATGGTATTGAATTGTTGAACGTTCACTTACTTTCTGATATGATTGAAATAATAAACTTATTTAGGAAAATTTAACAAATATATGTGAAATTAAAATACAGTAGAACTTCGATTATCCGGACCTCTATTATCCGGATTTTCGATCATCCGGATTGTTCAAAATAAACAAAAATTTTACGAATTTGCTGATTTGCACTTGGCAAATTACGATACTGTTTATGTACGTGATGGAATCATAACTTTTTTGTTTCAACAACGTCTCCCCCTGCACAGTGGTCGTAAATGGTTAAATATATTTTGAGTCGTAATAAAAATATAACTTGACATACGTATTTATAAATAATTTATATTCAAATTACATCATTTCTATGACCAAGGGCGGCGTATGAGCAAAGCGGGCCACCGCCTGTGCCTCGCGGTCCGAAGGGCCTCGCGCCTCGAAGGTTATACATTACTTAAAAGCCGCGAACGCGACGAAAAAATTTTACTCGTCATAAAACGATAAATAGTTTGTCAAATTTTTATTCATCAAAATGCAGTTTCGACTGCTTTTTATTTTATAAAATCCGTCTTCTTGCGCCACCAGAGGGCCTTTTAAACAATAGGTAGTCTGTTAGCGCTGGTCAATAGTAGTCCAAATTTAATACGAACGTTTGTTTCTTGAAAATTTGATCACGATTTAAATACAGTATTTATTTTTAATATTACCGATACGTCATCGAAAAGAAAACGTTGTATGATCATTAAAAAACAAATTAAAGTATTAGTTTCGATTATCCGAATTTTTCTTTATCCGGACTACATTCATCCCAATTAGTCCGGATAATCGAGGTTCTACTGTATACTCAACCTCGAATATTAAACTAGTTTATATATTCTACACCAGTGATTCTCAAACTTTTTCCATCCACCGCCCCCTTTGTTCCATAAAGTAATACCCAACGCCCCCTAACCCATTTTCTCTTGTGTGAGAAAAGGATTAGAAATATTCTTAGAAAAATTTTTTATGAATCTCACACTTTGTGCCCTTACTGTACATTGTTCTCATCATCTGGAAACAATTAAACGCAATGTTTCCTCTTATCAGCCCCAATTTTGCCTTTGGTCACCGTTCAATACCCTGCCTCTATCATAGATCTTTTCATCGTGCCAGAAGGGGGCGTTATTGCTTACTTTGAGAAACGCTGAGCTAAAATAAAAGTCAATGTGTTAGAAATGTTCAAGTTGTGACCTTCAATAAAAAATAAAAAATATATAAAATGTCAACATTTTATATATNATTTACAATTATTAGATAATTAAATAAAATGCATTTCGGTTCTGAAATTCTCTCTTCAGTTAGATTATTATTATACAAAAATACCAGTAAATATTTGTAAAAAAAATAACTTGAAATAGGACAATTACTGTAATGAGCTGTGTATAATTAGCCTTAATATATGAATTACAATGGTCTTTGTTTATGTAAAAATCAAATAATTAAATAAGATTAGTTAAAAGACTAATGACTTTTATTGTTAGATTGCTTCTCGAACGATTTGGCAGATTATTTTTTGTATTACATTAAGACTAATTAAATAGTTTGATATAATGCAATTTTGTCTAAAGGAAATTGTTACACAGTCATCTCATAATAAATTTACTAATTACAAATATGTCAAATTTTAATTTTAATATTCCGAAAAAAATTGTCAACAACCCACAAGTCCTACTTACCGTGCAGATTCCCTGCCAATTACACTACACGTACTGTACAATACGTTTAGGTTGGTTATTGTTCTGAATAGTTTATGCTCTTAGAGACGGTAACCAACATGAATAAACATTGCATGACTTTTATCATTGACCATTCAGCAAATTAAAATGATATTTTTAACATAATTGTTTTCATGAATTACGTATATCAAACATCAAACAATAAATGTTAATGTGGATAATTAGCTTACTTACATTTTATTTTAGTAGTTATATTACAAAGATTATCACCGCTTTGTAACGAGAAGATGCCTTAAAAGCAATAAAAAATTAAATGATTATATTAAATATAGTTATATAATTTTATAGTTGAACTGTTTTATTAGAAAAACAAATGTGCAAATCTCGCACGTGCGCCTGTTTCTAAAAACAGTCTCAGCATTTCTTATTTTCTTTTGACCCGGTTCTCGGTCCCCCGACTACCTATAAGTCTGGTCTATATTATGTGCGCATGATTTCGGTACCAAATACTCCGTGCCAAATTGCAACTCCTGACATGTACAGTACTTCTTCATACCTCTAAAGTGTGTGCAGACGTTGACAGCAGCGCGATTTTAGAGACGAGACATAGGCTCGTCAATAATCGCAAGAAATAATTTAATTTACATTTTTTAAACATTTAATTATTATATGAAAATTCAATAAATAATACCCAAAATTCAAATCCATGTAGTTTGTATATAAAAAAGTAACTTAATTATATCTATTTTAATTTAATAATTTTCTACTGATTTGACAATGCATATGCAAAATAAAATTAAAATATATTCGTCATTTAATTTATAACTTTCTAAATGAAAAATGTAAAGTTTTGTTATAATTTTAGCTTTTAATATAGTGGTTGCGTGTGGAAATGTTTTCAATTTATTCTCTGACTGCTCAGAATAATCACGTAACAGTTATATTATTGGTCAGTAGAAAAGAATATGCTATCGTTTTCTGATTAAAAAATCTATATAAACAATAGTTAAATAAATGCAATGTTAAGTTATAAACAAGTAGTTTGTAGCAGCATAATATTAATCGATAAATTATAAACTTCACACTTGAATTTATAATGTATACTTAAGAAGTTCATATACAGATTACAACCATATATTTATTATTATAACTGTAAGTAGTAATTTTAGTTTACTAAAATAATTTTTATCTGTAGCTTCATTTTTGTACCTACAATACATATTTTATATCTATGAAAAACACATTAAATGTAAAGTATATTAATATATTATGCAATTACTTTATAATATAGGCGATTATGGCATGAATGGAAATTTGGCAGACGAGCGAAGCGAGTGGGCCAATTTTTATGGATGCCATCATCGCTACTCATAAACGAATTGTCATACGGTATATTGTGATTATAGTACACTTACAACACTATACTTATGGAACGCAAAATAATGCATGAACACAGTGTTTGTGTCAGTCGTGCCATAAAGCCCTGCCACAAACACTGTGTTTATACATGATTTTGAATTCTACAAGTCTAGTGTTATAGTTGTAGTCAACCAGAAATATATTTGTTTATATATTTTAATATGTAAAGAAATTGTGATATTTTTTAAGAACTTTTTATAATTATTGTATACATTTCTTATATTTTCATGTCAATATATAAAAATGTTCCTTTGTTTTAAATTATTCTTTTTTCATACATGGATAAATATATAGAACACGCATCGAATCGTTAATGACACGTATAATACATTGGTATGGATTTTACAATATAACACAATATTCTTTAAACATTGCATTTTTGCTTATTCAAAATAGTAATTGTGCAGAATGGTTCCTGTTAGTAAAAAGTTCGGATTAGACAACTTATAAATAAAGATAAGAAAGCAAAAAAGGAGAATAGACAAATACATAAATTTTGATAAATTTCAATCTGTAAAGTGCGTAGTAAATTTATAAATTTGCATTTTTAGAAATAATTTTCGATTTCTTCACGTTTTCAGCTAAATTATTTAACAGGAAAAACAATTACTGCTGCAATTCTCCAGTAATTAAATTTTTTATCGATTAAATGCATTTTATATATTAACAGAATTAAAAGTTAATAAATAAACTTT